ATTGCACAAATACCCCTGTACTGGCAGGAGGTTCATGCAAGGAAAATATCCAGTTAAAGAATGTAAGACCTTGTTTTGGTACTTAGAATTTCAGATGGATTTACTTGGAAGCAAACTGCAGAAAGCAAACCACAAAAATTTGAATAGAAATGTTTTTCATGGGTTTCCAGGTAATTGTGAACTGGATGGGAACACTGTAAACCTTAGTTGCCTGAGGAAACAACTAACTTCTAGCCTTATTTAACTGAAAATGTACATGAAGAGTTGAAAAGAACTCGAGTTACAGTCTAGAGGACTTCACTGTGTAAGCTTGGTGTTTTGGCATACAGATGCTTGGGGTTTGAATGTGTCGTGACTAAAGCTGCTTGATCTGGTTCTAATATCCTGTTTAGTTCTTGGTCATACCCCATGCAGCACTACTTGCTGGGGATGGAGTGCCTGGACAGGGGCCAGGCAGGAAGGGACCTGGGGGTACTGATTGACAACAGGCTGGACATGAGCCAGCAGTGTGCCCTGGTGGCCAAGGCAGCCAAGGGCATCCTGGCCTGCATCAGGAATAGTGTGGCCAGCAGGAGCAGGGAAGTCATTCTTTCCCTGTACTGGGCACTGGTGAGGCCACACCTCAAGTGCTGTGCCCAGTTCTTGCCTCCCAGTTTTGGAAGGATGTTGAGGTGCTGGTGTGTGTCCAGAGAAGGGCAACAGAGCTGGGGAAGGGTCTGGAGCACAAGTCCCATGATGAGTGGCTGCGTGACCTGGGGTTGTTTAGCCTGGAGAAAGGGAGGCTCACGGGAGACCTTATTCTCTACAACTGCCTGAAAGGAGGGTGTAGGCAGGTAAGGCTTTGTCTCTTCTCCCAGGCAATCAGCAACAACAAGATAACACAGTCTTAAGCTGCACAGGGGGATATTTAGGTTCGAAGTTAGGAAGAATTTCTTTACAGAAGGGGTGATTGGACATTGGAATGGCTTTCTCCAGGGAGGTGATGGAGTCACTGTCCCTGGAGGTGCCTAAGAAAAGACTGGATGTGGCATTTAGTGCCATAGTCTAGTTGACAAGGTGGAATTTGGTCATAGGTTGGACCTGATGATCTCAAAGGTCTTTTCCAAACTTACTGGTTCTGTGATTCCATGATCCTGTGGTTATGTGAATCTTTGTGTATATGATGCTTGTTTAAGTTTTCTGTCCTCTCGCAAGTTAAGGTCCTCCTTATCTTCACTGTCTGCTGGAGGAAGATGTAAAGAAAAGTACTTTTCAGTGTTTCGAATAATGAAAGTAATTACTATGCTTTTCTAAGAGAAATGTGTTGATAGGCAGATTAATTCACTAAAGATCCTATTCTGTAAACCCAAACCTCCACCCATGAAGTCTTCTTCATCCGTGAAGGGCAAAAACGAAGATTCATTACTCTTGCATTACCTGATGCACATCTCTCTCAGGGACATGAAATACCTCTGCATGGGGGTTTTCAAAACTTAATGTTATTCTAGATTAAATGAAGTGATTGAAAGTGTTGCTTGTAGTTATTTCCTAATGTTTAATATTTATGATCTCTAAGGTTGCATAGAAAGAAGCCTTTGCTTTAATTAAAAATGGGATGGACATTTCTTAAAATTCTTTTTAATCGAGCAGAAAGTAGTTCACCTGCATTTTATGAAGTTGTTGCATGACAAATGCAATTGGCCTGTGTGGCTACATATGGGATGGGAGATTATTTTTTAGTGGCATAAACCATCCTGCTTAGAAAAGGATGACATATGCACATGTATGTGAATGTGTGGTTCCTCTTCTTAATTTTCTTGTCTTTAGAACATTAAATTTTTTTCAAAATATTTCAATATGCTTGTTTGAAATGCTGCACATGACCTAAAGGCAGCCTATAGAAATCATCATGCTGATGCAGAAGGAAATAGAATAAGAAAGATTAATCTTAAGTTGTCAGGATGCATGCAAGCTGTCTTATTTCCAATTTATTTTTAGTCAATTTGGCAAATATGTATTGCTGTATGTACAAGTACAAATATGTATTTGTACTGTCCTGTACAGTTGCTTGTGGTTTCTCTGCATATTTAAAACAAATGCTTATACTTACAGATACTTGCAAGCATTGCTTTGCAATGCTTGTGTTCTTCTATAGGCATTTCTATAGGGTGGTTTTGTATAAGTTATTGGTGTCTGTGTAGATTTGGAGCTGAGAATCACATAACAGCTTTGAAAGCAATGTGGAAAATGCAATAATCATATGTCCTTGATAGCTTTAACTGCCTTTGTTATTAGTCCACCTATACAGAGTATTATAATGCTATTATTTTAAAATATTTCTTTAAAGACTATAGTGGTTTAGACTGAATTCAGAAATATTTCCATTCATTGCTGAGACACATTCCATCTACTTAAAGACCAAGATAAACACAGTGGGTTTTGTTATTTTATAACTTATGTGTCTTATTTTAAGAATGTCTATGGCTATCAGCACGATCAGTGAAACTTTCATTTCAGCAACTGCTACAAAAACATGATAGTTTGAAAAAAACAACTGTTTTGAAGAAACTTTCGCATGGAGGTACAATGGTGGTATTTATGTAATTGCTCTTGGCAACAGCTTCAGTAAATTTAAGTTGAAGTTCATCCATAAAATTAAGTGACTTTCTCAATCCACTTGAACCTTGACCTGTTTTGGTGTCATGTTCTGGAGTTGGTGAAGAAGCTTTACTGTTGGAGTCTGTAACCCCAAATGAGATTACACCACCTTCTTCTGATTCAGAATTTCCTGCTGTTGCAATATGTGTTGTTCCACAGAAATGAGGAGTAATTCCCTCTCAGACATTGTTGAGATTGCTCCCAGGGAACAATGCTAGTGATGTATTCTTTCACTGCTAAAGAAAAGGCATCCTATTGTAAACTTGGTTGTTTCTCAATGAGTTTACAAACTTGTTCTAAATAATTCACTTCATCTTGAAGCTCTGTTTCCCAGGAGACAAAATAGTTATTTTCTTAAAACCAATTTTTGCTTTAAGAACAAAGAAGCCACATGGTGATTTTGAAGCTGTGGAATAGACATCCTTTTTACCACAGACAATTGGGTTTTCACTCAGAGCCTTTTCTGTTCTTTTAAAAAAATTATTATTATTTGTGGATTCCTTATTGAGTGGACTGTATTGAATCTGCATCAATTGGCTGCAAAGCATGGTGGTGTTTGAGCTCTCTCCTGAATAGGTGGGTTGCAGTGGGGCTGCACGTTCAGGAACGAGCAGAACACAGAGCAGAATTCATTCATGCATTGCCCTCACTACCAGCAAGTGTGAACATGTGCACAGTCCTTCCTTAGAAGAAAACAAAAAGAACAGACACAGTGAGCATTTCTCTTCTCTGCTCTCATTTCAGGAACATTTCTACCTCCAAAGCTGGTATTGTTTTTCTCAGATGATTTGGTTTCAAGCTATGTTGCTATTAAGTACTTCTACTTCAGGGCAGTGTCCCTGGAAAATGTGCTGTTAGCAATCTTTTGTGTTGGCCCTTTGGGGGTCATGACATTAAATCACAAAATCACAGGAATACCCCTGAGAAATTCTGAGGCTTTTACAGAGGGGCCATCCATCCAAGTTTAAGCACTTTTGAAAGAGGGTACATTTTGGAACAAAGATTGCAGCATGTCTATTTTCTACCAAGAAAATGAGTCTGTGCTGGAAAGCAAACACATGTTAAGGCTGGATAACCAGAAAAGGGAGCTGAGACATGAGAAGGAAAGAGTAAGCTGTTCTTCAGATTTTGATCACAAGCTTTTTCTGCTTCTAAGGCATGACTGTTCTGTTTCTTGTAACACACATTTATAAAAATCTCACAGTCTCTTTTCTAAATTTGAAGGGGTTTGGTGCACTCTGGTTGGACTCATGGCAGTTCAGTGGGTATGGTTATTACTTTCTCATGGCCTTTGTTTAATACTATGGGTATTTCAGTTGTGAGACCTGAGTTTGTGTTTGGTTAGATGAAAAAAACAGTGTTGTATGATGAGTACTTGATATTTTTTGTCTTGCCATGATAGTCCATTAATTTTAATAACCAGTGAAAACATGCTTCGATTTATCTGATGTGAAGAAGAAAATAGAGATTTCCATGTCTGGGCTCCAAGTTACTTCCTTGCAATGTTTACTGCATACCTTACAGCAGAGACTCTTGCCCTCTTGCCTTTACCATTTTACCACACTGCCTGCTTGGCTCAGAGTTTTTGTTCCTCCTTGACCTTTCCATTGTAATCATCGATCTATCAGCCCTTCAGCTCAAGGCCCAGCTGGGGATAACTGTCACATTTGTGGTAATTGTCTGATGCTACTTGTCAACAGTTGGAGGGTTCAGATATGCAGGTAGATGTTTCTGGAGATGCCCATACTACTATTCTCTACTGTAGTCACAAAACCTTCTTTGTAGAAAACCCATGTGGGACTTGCCACCATGTTTTAAAATATTCTTATGACTAATGAACTATAAAATATCTTGTCATTGTTGTAGCACACAGGGGATCCTGTAATAAATTAGAGGTCTCTGTGACAGGTTCCATAGATATATAATAAAACAAAAACCTCTGGGAATGCTTTAGTCTAAGTTCATATTTTTTCCTTATGCACCCAAAAATAGGATTAATCAAATTTCATGCCTAAGGGCTTAAACAGATAGAATATGAAAGAAAATTTCACCAGTCAGCAGTGTAGTAGTCCTGCATCACTGCAAATTATGCACTTTCATAATGTACGAGATAAAACCTTTCATTTAAACATTTCTCACAGCTTATCTAGTTTCACTTAGACAGTGGTTTAAAGTAGTAGAATCCCAGATTAATATTCAGTAACTAGCGAACAATGTTTAATTTTATTTGAAATATTTTCTTCCTCCCATTATAAACTAAAATGCCCGCTTTGTGACAAAATCATTAAAATGCTCAAGTACTAACAGAATTTTCTGATTGAGTGTTTTCATGTAGATATGTTTTCTCATAACTACTTTTCTAGGTTGTATTGGTCAGTGGACATCTGGACAGCTGGGACGTTGGGCAGGGAGCTATGGATGATGGTGGTGGAGCATTTATATCATGGGAAGCATTATCGCTCATTAAGGATCTGGGTAAATCTTTAATTTTAAAATATTTTTAGTGCATTACATTTCCAGGATATTTTGTATGATGTCTAAACTGGATTTTCAATTTTATCCAGGTCTCTGAGCACAAATATTAATTTTGTCACTATACCCCTCAAAACTAGTTCAAAACAGACCTTTTTAGATTGTTGAGTTGATATCCAAGGATGCTTTTCCTCCTTCATCAGATGGAATCTATTTTTCCTCCTTATTCCCTTTTTCCACAAATGTAACCTGTGGTCAACAGGAATGCCCAGTATTCATTAGAAACTAAAATCAGCTGCTGCTCCTGCCCTGGCAGCCTTTAAACAATAAACTATCTTTCCCTGCTTCCCAGTGGAAGGATTTGTGCACTTCAACAATTTCAGTCTTTCTTGAAGAGCGCTTTGTAGACAAGCTCTGTCATGTGATTAGCTGCTTGCATACTGCAGTCATGAACATCAGACATCCCTGTGAGTTCCTATTCCTTTATTTTGCATTGTTTGAACCTCTAATCTTTCAATTTCCCAGCTTTCGAATGATTGGATTATCAATCTGTAACCAAAACAAAGTGCACCTGTTTAAATTTTTGGTCTTTTAAAAGCAAATAGGATTCTTCTACAAAGAATCCAAGTGTGCTCCTTCTTACAGTGTTTTTTAATTCTTTTTTTTTATGATGCTTGGAAAAATTGGCTTTTTCTCCACCTTCAAGGAAAAGAAAGTTATTCTGCTGTGTTGGGTACTCTATTCCATTCAAAACAAGCCGTTGTGTGTTACTTAAGGGCAAGTTCATGGTGGCATTGTATAATTTTTATTCACTGGGCTTCCTTTCACGCATGACTGAAATGCATCACTTTTTTCTTGTTTAAATATTTGATTTCCTCTGGTAGTAGCCTGTGTGTTTGCTGTGCAACCTGTGATGAAATGCTGTTCTCTCAGCTGGGAAATGCTGGAGCCTTTGCTGATGCCCTCTGCTCTGGGCAGCTGTTGTGTTCTGCTCTTCTCTTTGTCCCAGTGTTCTGCAGGAACACAAGGCTGGGAGAGGGCTGCTGGGTCTCAATAGTTGTAGGTAACCAAGGAGCCTTTCACAAAACTGAGCTCCATAGTAGATTGGTTAATGCAGATTTAATATCTTATGCATTAAAAGCTTACCAAAAAAAAAAAAAAATAAAAAAAAAGAAAAAAAAAGACAGCAAAATAAAAATATGTGAAGACTGTGTAAGAAACAAATTAATGACTTTTATTTACAATCAGTTGCATTGATTGTGTTTTGAATAATCATTGTGTTTTTGTGGAGACTTTGATATTTTTTTGGACCCTGATAAATTTAGTCTCATACTAGTCCAGAAAATATATTTGAAATGAAGGTAAGACAACTCAGTTGACTCTGTGCATGTGTAGAAATTTTTTACTCTGTCCAGGGAGTCTTAAAGCCATGGTGCATTGTGTAGCCATAAAACTGTGTCAGCATTTACCAGAGTATAACTGATCTTACAGCTGTGGTGATATGATCCTCAAGCTGAAATGAGCATTCTAAAATATGATTTCTAGAATACTAATTTATATTGTGTAGTAAGAAATAAAGGCAGTACTTCTGCCATGGTCCTTTGGGTTAATGAAAGCAAAATACTATTGCACTATTGAAGCAGGGTTTTCAGTGATGGGCTAATAGCATTTCATCATGATATCACTGTGACCCTTGGACATGGCTTATGGACAAAATACAAATTATGCCTGTTAATCTGGATTCTGAAAATTTCATGTAATACTTGAAGAATATTATAGTTTAAATGCAATTCCATAATTTCAACATAGCCTCCTCCGAAAACCACTTAATAGCTATTGGCTTAGGACCAAATACATGAAATTAATTGGAAATTCATTAAAATTATGGTTTGAGATGGTAAGATTTTATTTTAAGCAATACAGTTTGTTCTCTTGCCTCAAGTAAGTTTTTAATAGTTCTTGCTTTTATTTCTAAGTAAATCAGTTACTTAATGTATTTGCCTTTATACTTCCTCATATTTCCTGAATCTTCAGTGTTAGCTTTTTTTTTTTTAATTGAGATGGCAATTTCTGTGCCATGTTGGTATATTTTTTTCTTTTAGTTTTGTTTTGCTTTTGGGTTTTCTAGCTTTTCAGACACCATAATAGTTACACGCTCCCTACAAGGTCATGTACCAGTCCAGCACAATCCGAAGTAGTTTTACATAGTCTCCAAGTCTTCAAACATTTGTAGCATTTTTTTCCATTTCCAGTTTGGCTTCACGTGAATGTTGTTTCTTTTTGAGGGAAAGGCAACTACGTGAAAGTCAGACTGAACTGAAACTGTTTTGCACTATATTAGCAGAGAGTGGAATGAAAGTATTTTGTTGATGTAAAATCTCATGTATACATTTCAGAAGAGTAGTACCTTAAAAGCATAGGGCTGATTGTGATCTGCTGTAGTTCTTCAACACTGTTGAAAGTTACAACCATTCAGGTAACTCTGGAAACTAGAAGAGCTAACAAGTGGAAAGTTTCAGTCTGAATACTTTGCTTCTAATAGCTGTAATATCTCTCTGCTCCTCTTCCACAGTGGGATGATGGGAAGGGGATGCCTGCTGGTGTTGCCGTTCCCTCTCATCCATCTTCAGGCAGGAAGCACAGGCAGCAAATTCAGAGCAAATTTCAATTTCTAGATGGCTGCATTTCAATTTGAATCTTGCTATGTTTTCTGTGCAGCTGCAGTTTCACTCTCAAAACATCCCCTTCAGCAACATATAGCTAAACTTCAGTACCAGTTTGTGCACCTGTTGGTACCCATGCTGGCTGTAGACATCTCCTGACCAGAGTAAAAAGAAGCATTTTCCCTAGTGCATCCATATCAAGTTCTCTGTATCAACTAAACTCTCATGGCTGCTTGCTTTGCTGATAGCTAATCTCAGAAAAATGCACTAAATAATGGGCATACTGACTACTGGTGTTCAAAGGGGTCTTTTCTCACCATTAATAATAAAATGTAATGAAAGACATCATGAATTAAATTCTTGAAGCTTACATATGCCAGTGATAGGCAAGATCTGTGGCAAACTGCTTCATGGCTGATGAGCTTAAAAAAGGAAAAACTGGAAATGTTTCCACAGAAATTGTTTGTGTAAGGAAACATGAACATTTCAGCTGGTTATTACTCCTTATTCCTTTTAGTGGGAATAAAGATGTTTTTAAAGTCACTGAGGCAGTTTGTGAACTGGTCTGAACTGGTAAACTCCCTTTCCTTCAGGGAAACCAAGGTTGTGATTAGCTGAGGATTTCTGTTGCTTAAGAAATTCTCCTCCTTCTACACTTGCAGGCAGAGTGTCCATGGCAGTAAAATTGTGCAATGTGCAGTTTGTCTTCTGTGATGTCTGGCAGCAGCTGCCCTGCCCAGTCCTCTGCAGGCTCTAATATTTTGATCTATTTTAACTAATTTTGATGGAGGCACAAAAATATTTAGAAAAGGAAGTTCTGATATACTCTTCAAATGAGTGACTGAGGAGAGGTGGGCAAGTGTATTTATGTCCCACCTGAGGGGAGGCAGGAAGAAGGCACTTTTATTCTTTTCTTAAAGATGTCAAACACCTGGTTACCAGAACACATGTAGCATTGTGGTAATCACCAGTCTCTTTCCTTTTAATCTGTCTGCAAACTCTGTGTGATAGATTGCAAATATCTCCATGGCAGTATTGAGAGCATTATTTGGGGTAATTAAGAGATGATGGGAAGACACTAGAGGTGTTTTAGAAAGGAAAGGCTAACAGGTTCCCATCATTAAGCTGAGGGAATCCATGGGGTTGGATGAGCTGTAATGTAGTGTGATGAGGGCCTTTGGAAGCTGTAGGAGAGACAGCACTCAAGCAAATTGCAGTTTTCTAGTTTTACAGAACAACAGCTGTGCTGCTAATTACAGCCTAGAAATCTCAAACCCAACTTGTTTTCAGGTTCCATTTATAATTCTAAACTTTTGTTAGTTTGTTAGTTTATGTGCAAGGAAGAGCATCTCTGGAGCAGGCCAATGTCATTTGCCTCAGCATTTTCATGTTGGTCCAGTTAGCACTCTGGTGTTGTTTGAAACACAGCTTCTCATGTCCCTCTCTCACACAAGGTGAGATAAAAGGTGAGATAAAAGACTAAATAAGCAGCTACATGTAGAACATCACCATAAAATCACACAAAATTTATTTTGCTGCCGTATTTTGTCTTTGGTTGAGCAGTTTGCAGGACTTGATCCTGCTTTGGATGTTGGTTGTCAGTTTCTGTGGAGGAGATATTTGTCCTCCTTTCCCAGCATTTCAAGCCTGCAGCTCTTCTTGTCCGGGGGTTGTACTTGTGTAGAGGGTATTTGAGCAAGAAGCAGCTAGTATGTATCCAGTGGTTTCAGAGCTTTAGTCAGTGCTCCCTCTTTGCTCCTAATCCAGCTGTGCTCCCACACTGCTTGGCTGAGGGGCATTTCCCAGCTGAGGCTGCAGGTGTTCTACCCTCCTCCAGCCTTGCCAAAGCCACCTCACACTCTAGTGTTGGAAATGTGGACCTTTCATCCCTAAAGGGAGCTTGAAGGAACTGAATAATGACAATAATAGAGAAAGATCTTTAGGAGCTGGTTGTATGGCAGTGTCAGGTTTCCAAACATAGTATTTTAAGTCTCCTAACAGCAGTAGGGAGCCTACTGGTGTTAGAAATCCAGTTGATTTTGGTAGATGAATTTCAGTGCTTTCTTCTGGAAAACTTCAGAAATTATAATTGTTATGTCTTTTTTTTAAATTAAAACATCTGGAATAAATTTTTTTCCTGTTGAAAATACAATAGAAACTGATGGGGTGTGTTACTTGACTAGACTACAGTCTAGTTAATTTTCAGAGTCCCATCTCTGCTAGCACAGGAGGAATCAAACAGTCAGCAGGTTCTTTGTTCACATCCCAGATTTCTTTCAGCAGCATTTACCCACAGTTTCTCTTTCCTTGATCAAGAAATGTGTTTTCTACCTTTTCCTG